CAGTATCTCTGGGACAACCGCGACGTCAGCGGAGCCATGGGACTGCGCTACCTCCGCAACACGGATGGATCGGACAGGGTGCTGAAAGAGACATGTGGCGCGGGCTTCTTTTGTAATTTGCGAAATCTAGAGGACTGGGCGAAAAGCCACCCTTCCCATCTGGCCATTTACACTGGTGCTATTAGACATGCCAAAAAGTTTGGAGACGAGCGCAAGTTTAGAACCTGGCATGAGGTGTCGATTCTCAAGAAGGGCGAGGCCAGGTTTGAGTATGTGAATTGTTTGCCTGTCACGGGTGTCATTCCCTTTTTGGGGCTACGGGAAATTCCCTTGTAGACAGGAATGATACGAGTTGAAGCATCATGCGCAATCTGAAACTTGTCATTAAGCACAGTGTCTGAATCTAGCAACTTCTTCTGTATGCGGTGACGTGTGAAAGGCGTCAACGGTGAACGTAGCAATATTGAATCTCCCATACCCCGAGATTTGGGCCAGACGAATCTCATCGATCGCAACTGGGCATTCGTCTCCTCACTTCCGGTGGCAATCTTCCACTTTCTTCATACCAGTACCTCATCTCTCTCGTTACCAATGAACTGCGGTCGGGCTTACTAGCCAATATAAACTGACCCTAAAAGAAAAACACTCAGAATGAAACTCGCAAGCCTGTCCACCAATGTCCTTTCATTCGTCGCCGGTTTCCTATACTTGATGGCCGAGACCAGCACACCACCCGCCAGAATGTCCATCATCTCACTCGCACCCGCCGCCGTCTGTCTTGATCTATAAACCGTATGAAATTCTCGAAGCAATGATTGGGAAAGCTCGTACTGAGGTATGTCTGTCGTTGAATATTATGTCGCAACTGTCTAGTCTTGGAGTAGTTAGCGAGTGGTTGTCACGAATTTGAGGCTACGGCGGCTTGTAGTTGGGGATCTTTACGTACCAAGATAATGTAGTAATCGCAAATAAGCCATGCGCTGTTTGGGCCGTCCCTAGAAGTATATTCTCCAACCACTCTGCAGGCCATAAAGTAGGTCCGCCAGTGATAGCTTGGTTTTTGTAAGAATTAACGTGAGTGTATTACTCAACATTAGACACCCAGTTGCACCCGCAATTCGCACGATCACCACATGCTCGGCAATGAGTCCAATCGTCTACCTGATGGGTTTCATCAAGGCATTTTCCGTGGCAGTAGCATTCGGGACACATGAAGAAATGGCCGCCACAGCAAACCTCGCATTTCATTATGTCTCCCACGGGTAATCGGCGGGCGCAGACGTCGCAAGCACGCTTCCATTGCCGCCCATGAGCATCCTCTCTTATATAAGATTGTCCTAATACGTCTTTGGGATCCTCGAGGCCAGCCCGCCGAAGAGCCTCCCTTAAAAGATCAACAAGCTGGCGATTGCCGGAACGTTGGGCCCAGTACAAGAGACTATGGCCCCCGTACAGGTTGTCCGTAGACTCAATTAGTCCTGGTTCAATGACTAGTAGTTGTCTGACTACGTCGATATGCCCATTTCTGGCAGCGGCGAAGATGGGTGTTGTACCGAAGTGGTCGGCTATGCGAGGGTCTGCCCCGCGATTTACGAATTCCTGAACTATCCTGGGCTTCAATCCTTGTCTTGCTGCCATGAATAGCACCGTTCGGCCAACGCGATCCCGAGTATTGATCAACCCGTCTCTCGCTACACCCGCTTTAAGGTGCAATACAGCTAGTGTAACTGCCGCGCCGTGATGCATCGCACTAAGGAAGGTTTGCATGCTAGCTCCATGATTCGTTGTCTTCTGGATGAGGAAGCATGCGGCGGCTATTCTTTCATTACAAATTGCAAGCTGGAGAGGAGTTCGTACACCAGCTGTTGTAACAGGGGGGTCGAAGCCACGATTGAGCAATACTTTCAAAACGTCAACGTACCCATATTGTGCTGCTATATGTAGTAGGGTAAGGCCGCCGTCGCTTGGATTGTGCATATTTGCGCCATGTTCCAGCAGCATATTGATAATGTCTAAATTGCCCCTCGTCACAGCTAATTCCAAAGGCGTTCGGCCATCCGTTACCGAGGAAGGATCCGCGCCTTTATCTAACAATAGTTGCACACATTCGATGTTTCGAGTGTGAATAGCATTTCGTAAGCATTCCCTAAGTTGTTGCGGGTCGAGGGAGGCGCCGAAATCATTGAGCAGATGCCTCAATATGTTAAAATGGATGGTTGTATAAAAACATGATGCCCTGGCTAATATTGACAATTGTCTAGCGTTGAACGGCTCCTCGCCGCGACTTTGCGCGATAAAGTCCAAGACCCCAATATGGTTTCTACGAACGGCATTAAAGGCTAGCGAAAATCCGTCCACAGAGACGCCACTCTAAGCCGCTCTGCGGAGAATATCGACTTGTCCTTGTAGTGAAGCCATGTGAAGGATTCCTTGGGGTTTCTTTGCTGCTAGTCGATATAAGCGAGGGATGGCAATTTGGCTAAATAGGCGATTGGTCTGACCGAGGTGGAATAAGTCGACCTCTGACACGAGGTGATCGGCGATGATGCCTATGACTTCGTTTGGGAGAAACCTGCTGATATCCATGGTTGTGCCGCAGGATTGAAAATGCAGATTAAACTGCGGGCGATGTTGATTTAAAGGTAAGTAAACGTGAAAGATTAACTGAATGACTTGAGATGAGTAAAAGGTGTAAAAGAGTCTATAGAGTGCGTTCGGAAGTGAGCGTAATATAAACAGATTCTGAACAAATGGCTGTGTGGATGGGTTGGCATTCGACCTTACAAGTGCCAAACTAATTTCTTTTCACGTAGAGGGCAAAAAGGCTTTAGCTAAACTAAAGCGGGGTGTGCCTGAGACATCCACGTAATCTGTCGCTCACTTTTTTCGGTTCCACTTAGAATTTGAACAGTTCTAACATGGATGATATGGAAGGGGTAGAATTGTGAAGGCCTGGTAAGCGGGATCTGAAGAGTGTTCACGTGAATGTATTTGAGGTTGTAATGCTACAACCTTTGTTGGTTGTTGCTGTAATTGGTTTTCAAGAGACATGGACGTATTGTAGCAGCGACTCACGTGGATGTACGCGTGCTCGGGAAAAGTGAATTTGATATCGCTCTGACCACCTCTCGAAAACTCCAGCCTGTTCTATTGCCGAACTAGAAATGTCTCACATCCTCGGCCCCATGCCTTTCTCCTCAAACAGCTTCAAGCGAGGGCATACAAAGTCTCTAATACAGCTTGAAATCAACCGTAATCCGTTTACAAAAAGTTGCGACTTGCCAGCAGAAGTCTGACTGAAGGGAAAGGTAAGGGAAAACAATCCTTGCGTCTGCAAGAAAGGCTCTGCACCATGATAGCCTCTTCTCGTGGAGTTTTACTGAATTTGGAGCCGCTCCATTTTATTATTTCTCATTAAGGCCCATCTGCACCCCTCACGACCTCATGGAGTTTTCCTAGAGAGCAGGAGTAAAATCACCCTCCACATCCGGCATCGTTCAGACTTTACTCAACGAGCCTACCAGCACGAAACTTCATAACCCCAATCCCCCCCTTGGACATTCACTGCATAGAAGCAACTCGCAAAGCTAATATGACAAAACTAGGCACAAAGCCTCTCAACGCAGCCATGAAGAGACATGTTTCACGAACCCGTTCTCCGAAGCGTCTTCCGAGCCATCTACCGCAAGTGTTCCGAGCCATACGTCTCTACGAAGCTGAAAACTAGATGTCGACTTGCGGTTTGAACTTGCATTATGTGACAAGGACTCAGTGAGGACTTGGGGCAATGAATCAGTTCATCTGATTTGGTATGAAATGTCCTTGGTTTTTCTCAAGGCCGTTGACCAATGAGCTTTATTTATACCAGGAGTGGTGCGAGCCTTCTGCCCTAGATTCTGTGACAAGAGCTCAAAGATGCCTTGTGAATAGCTTCCAATTCAGCTAATAATTGTCTTTAGATTTTTACGTTCTTTGGTTTCTTTTCATCTAGGTCCTTACAGTTCACCCATATACATTATGTCCCGTATATGTGTAACCCGACCTAGATGAATGGAGCACTTATGTCATAGCTGCCCCAGGTTTCTAACCTGTATCCCCCTACCTATCTCCCGACCACCTTGTGTGCCGTGACGATGCATCCTTTATGGTGTTGCAGTCGGGATCGGCTATTAGGATGGTCATGGTATTTGTCCGTACGACAGGTTCCACGATCGTAATCGTCGTGTAACCGTGTGACATACCATTATTCGATCATTTGCTTGGATTCAGCAGGTCTTCAAAGAGGTCAGTATCTTGCACAATGTCTATGTCAGACTCATGGGTGGCTACAGAGTTGACGGGTTGGCACTCGGTAGTCTAGAATACCGAAGCTTCTACCACTGACTGACTAAACTACCTAGGTAGGGATGCCATTTCTAAGACAAAGACACGCCATGGCAGGATGGTAGCCGCCGAAGGAGCTGAACTATTACTCAGGGCTAAGCTATTCTCAGAGCTAAACTAGTATTACCAAGGCTAAACTATCACCAAAGCTGAACCATTACCGGAAGGCATGATTTGTTCCACTATACCACGAAAGCGCCGAGGGTGCGCCAGAGGTAACCATCTTCTGCAGGCTTACTTCAGCTGCTGCAACTATTTCCCTCCTCTGCTCACGGAGTATGCAAAGACCAGCCAAGGTATTAGAAGACTCGGTAGGTCGATTGTAACCCACCCCGCTCGGGTTGGTGTAGAAATAGGAAGGTCGATAACGCAGCATCAGCGGCTTTGTATTTTTAGTACGAGACGACTCATCTTGTTGGTGACCGAGGTTGCTTTGCGATGGAACTAACGAGTGCCCTCTCACATTGTGTAACGGCTACCTGATTGATAACAACGAGCTGCTGCCGCCAGGAAGAGTCCAACTCAGCCTCGGAATAGACTCTTGCAATAGCTCACTTTTAACCCCAGGTTCTTGTTGAGGAGAAATGCGCGGCTTCATACTATTCAGCCTGCTTTCCATGGCGGCAGTAGATGCCAACATCGGACAAGACAACTTGGCACCATTATTTAAATCGAAAGACAGCGTTCCCGGCAGTTACATTGTCAAGTTCAAGGACGGCATCTCCTCAACCAGCTTCGACAGTACCCTGGCCTCCTTCACTGACGACAGCCACCACGTCTACGACGCTGTGTTCAAAGGTTTTTCGGCAACCCTCGATTCCGTTGCGATTCGCAATCTAAGACGCCATCCTGACGTATGTTCACTCTAGTCACAAGGTAAAGTCGCCGCTCCTAACACACGCAGGTCGAATTCATCGAACAAGATGCTACTTTCACCATAAACGGTTTCGTAGAGCAGAAAAACGCTCCCTGGAATCTAGCCCGCATCTCTCACCGCCAGCGAGGTTCGACATCGTACATATACGACGACAGCGCCGGCGAAGGAACATGCTCATACATTATTGACACTGGCATCGATGCCACGCACCCCGTAAGCTCGTCTTCCCCCTTCCGCACCATCACATACTAAATTCCGCAGCAATTCGGCGGCCGCGCCCAAAACATCAAGTCGTTCGTTAACACAGCCACCGACGGCAACGGCCATGGCACTCACCTCGCCGGCGTTATAGGCAGCGTCATCTACGGCGTGGCCAAGAAGACGAAACTCTACGGCGTCAAGTGTCTCGACGACCAAGGCTCAGGCACGACATCCAACGTCATTGCCGCAATGGACTTTGTTGCCAAAGACGCCAAGACGCGCGGATGCCCCAAGGGAGCAATGGCCAATATGAGCTTGGGAGGGGGTTACTCTGCGGCGGTGAACAAAGCTGCCGCTTCTCTTGTTGCCTCTGGCGTGTTTGTCTCGGTGGCGGCGGGCGGTTCGGGTACCGACGCCAAGAACACGTCTCCTGCGTCTGAGCCAACTGTTTGTACGGTGGGTGCTAGTACGGAGAAGGATGAGCGTGCTAGTTATTCCAATTACGGGCCTGTGGTTGATATTTTTGCGCCGGGTGTGAGTATCTTGTCCACTTGGCTGAATGGCGCGTCGGTAAGTTGCTTCTCTGCTGTCTGTTGTCGGTGACTGACGCGAGGGATGCAGAATACTCTTTCGGGGTCGTCCATGTCGGCTGCACATATCACCGGGCTGGGGGCTTATATTGCTGCGCTTGAAGGTTTCCCTGGTGGGGAGAAGTTGTGCAAGAGATTGCAGGAATTGGCTACCAAAGGTGTGTTGACGAATGTGCCATCGGGGACACTGAATCTTTTGGCTTTTAATGGCAACCCCTCTGGATAGGTGCGGCATCTGGTAGCATACATTTGCTGATCAAGACCATGGTTGTTGGGCCGCGGGCGTGGTTGATGCTCATGTCATGTCGTTTGGAAATTTCGCTTGAAAGTTGACGGAATATTGAAGATATATGAGCTTGTGAAATTTGATGTACGGATATTGTCCTTGATTTCTGCGTATCCAGCCTACATCGTGTGCGTATAGTTGTTTGCAGTCGGTAACCATCTTCCGAGGAATCAAGTCCGTTGTTTCTGAATTCGACATTGCCGATCGCTTGGCCCACAAGTTACAACTGCCGACATCAAGGTTGGAACCTTAATGTCGTCAGTCAACTGCTCCATAATCCATGCGGATAAATGGCGCAGGGAGCTCAAGGGTGGTTACATGGGTGATGGCGCGAGCTCAGCGGCGCCTTGTTGGTTGAGATGACGGTGAGCCAGCATTGATCAATCTCCAAGCTGCCCCTCTCCGCAAACGTCACTTCTTCCTCACCTCGGCACCACCTTACTCGTCCTGTCCCAACAAAAACACCCGCCCAACCCTCAATTCGCTCTCAAGCTGACCTCATCCAACCAAACACATTTCTTCATCAACCACCATGGCTGTCCCCCCCAAATTCGCCGGCCACAAGCTCGAATTCGCCGCCTCGGCATCGACTTCGTCCGCCCCCCATTCCAAGCACACGTTCGAGCTGTACGTCGACTACTGCTGCCCCTTCTCGGCCAAGCTCTTCCGCACACTCAGCAACGACGTCATCCCCGCCATCCGCGACAACAAGTCCTGGGCCTCCAACCTGACCCTCATCTTCCGCCAGCAAGTCCAGCCGTGGCACCCCTCGTCGACGCTGATGCACGAGGCGGGGCTCGCGGTGCTGCGGCTCGCCCCGGACAAGTTCTGGGCCTTTAGCAGCCAGCTGTTCGAGGAGCAAAAGGACTTTTTCGACGCCAACGTGGTCGGCGAGACGCGAAACGCCACGTATAAGCGGCTGGCAAAGATTGCTGGCAAGGTCGGCGTCGACGAGGCCCAGGTCTACCGGCTGCTCGAGATTTCCGACAAGCCCGCCGAAAATGGCTCGCTGAACAGCGGGAACCAAGTCACTAACGACCTCAAGGTTGTTACCAAGATGAACAGGTTGGTCGGGGTCCATGTCACCCCGACGGTGGTGTTTGACGGGGTCGTGCAGGATACCAGCTCTGGGTGGACTTTGGACCAGTGGAAAGAGTGGCTGTCTAAGAATGTTGTTTGAGCGAGATGTACATAGGTAGGTATGTTATTTGGAGTCGGAATACAAGCATTATGAGAAGATTGGGATGCAGTTCTTGATTGGGTTTGTATATTGCTCTTCCGTCTGTGGCGCCAAATGAACCACGCAGACAACTGTCTTGTTGATGGAATGTGTAAAGGTGCTACTTACTCATGTGATGGATTGAAAGGATGTGTCATATGTCGGGAAATCAAACCTCGGTTCTTGGTGTCGCGGGTATGTCACGTAAAAAGACTCTACACGTAGTTTCCTACCCTTCACAAAAGACAAAGGGCCGTAGAAAAGCGAGCCACTTTGTCCAAATGGGTCATTATTCGGATCTTCTTGGAAAGTCAACCAGAATTACACAGCCAGAATATAAAACACATGTTTATGTAAGTTTTTCTCTTTAGTCATCATAACTTTTCATCTATTTACAATATTTAATTGACTTGCGTCATTTATATCTTTTCATCAAATTCCCGCCCACCTGTAGCTTCCTGTTCAAGATGATCCACGTCAAATAAACTTGCCATTTCTAGCATTAAACGATACAAGTAAATGGACATGTCAATCTCCCGTACAACTTGTCGCGACCAAGTCGATCCAGCATGAGCAATCTCAGCGGACAACACCTGTCCAGTTGGGTCATTGACCAGGAAATTGACCAGCGCAGGGAGTTCCTCCATCGTCATGGTGACAGGAATGTAATGGGCCCACGGGACAAGACGGTCATCGTGCCATTCCTCGAACCAGGTCTGCTTGAACACCACGGCCTGCCTAGACAGAAGACGGTAGAACCTGGTGCTCATGCTGTTCCCGTCTATGTCGTACAGGTACTGATAGTGGGAAGACGTGTCTTCTGGCTCAACATCCGACGGCCCCAGGACGCGCTCCATGTCCTTACAAGACTCCTCGTCACATTGGATATAACTGCCGAAATGAATGTCAAACACATCCTTGAATAGTGCAATTTGTTGCCTGTCTAGTTTATCCACTTGCAGTCCGAAGAATTGGCCCGTCTGAAGAACCCTGGCCGTATTCTGAAGCGACTGAATAAACGCGACAAAGCGCTCCCTATGGCCGGTCTTCCACGTGAATCGAGTAGCTTTGCCTCCGGTAGTAGACCCGCGCCAGTAAATCATAGGCTTCTTTTCCGAAAAGGCCATCGGCTCTTGCTGCACAACGGGGTGCCCCGTGTAACACGGGCACGGGACCAAGATATCTCGAAAGGCAGACATGCGGCCAAAGCTCAGAATAGGGACGAGGGTGTGCGTATACGAGAATGTGCTCGGAGATGCGATGAGAGCGTGGAGGTCTGCCGGACGAGAGGACTGACAAACGTCGTTGTATCTTGCGTGGGTGCCAGCCGACTGCGGCGCACGATGCGCACACGAGTCCAGTACCAAATCTTCAATTGACTCCCCGGAACGTTCATTGAACTGTGCCACTGGGGATGGCGGCTTGGACGAGTCCAGGATTCTCGGCTCATCGATGGTGCTTAGGAAAAAAAGGCTGTCGGGCAGTGCATGGAGAAACGGCTGAATGAGTCCTCTCCATGCCCCTTCATATATGTACGGTGCAGACATGGACATGGTTCCATTTTGAATCGTGATGCGCGTCGTGCGAGGACAGTCCTCACTTTGTTCTTTCAAGCGGAGAAAAGCTTGCCGCGCTTCTGGCGTGCGGTAAGGCTCCAGGTCTCGATCAATCTGGTCGAAGTCGTCGATGATCTTGGAGTCGTGGTCCAGAGCAAATGCCACCCATTCTTCGAAACCCTTGGGAGGACTTCTTCGGTATCGACGTCTGTATTCGGCAACCGCTTCTCCTACGTTTGACGACTGGTTCTTGAGTCGAGCTTGCGCCTTTTCTTGTGCTTGTCGTATGCGACAGAGAAATCCGGTCGGAGTATCGTCGTTGGCAATGTCTGGTGGGCATTTCTGCCCAATCAATAGAGCTTGTTTGGAAGCATATCGTGGGCTGAAGCTCGAGTAGCCTGACTTGTATATAAAGGTGAATATGACGAGAGTAGCCGCAATGGCGACAACAGTTTTCAAGCGCTTGATGGAGAAGGCTGGCCTGGATAGATAGGCAAGGACCATGTTGTGGCTGCGAATTAGCAAACGAGGGAAAAGACGAGCGGTTGCGCAAAAGAAGGACCAGTATTAGTATTACACATATTTTAATAGTGAATCCTGGCACTCGGACTCTTGTCTAATATCAAGGGATTCATGCCGAGATCCTTGTCAGGTTACGGGGATTAATCAAACGACGTTTATAAAGACTGCTTATTAGAGTGGATAATTCATGCGGACAAGACAACCCCTGCAGGCACGTTTCGGCTTTGACGACTACCGATGGAGCCCGGTATTGGCGAGGGTTCCTAATGAACTGACTCGAGCTTGGAACTTGTATCTATTTAGAGACACGAAGCGCCTTCATATCGGCACGGGTACTTGGCGGAACCTCTTCGGGCCACCTCGGACCTAGTCAAGTAAGTCAAGGTGGATGCGGCGTTTTTCGTTTTATTGCCCTCGAGTTTTCTATCATGCTTGGATACATGGCTAGTAAGATAGGCCTTGGGCTTGATCAAATCCCGCAAGTCCATCAAGTGAACACTAGATGGGCCATCGTGTCGCAATAATCGCTAGTATTTCGCTGTCGATAACACGTCGATTTGGTAGACTTGTCTCATCGCAAACCCTGTTGATTAAAGTAAAGCATCCTACTACAAAACTCTTTTTCTCCCTTGACAACGATTCCATAGTTTGCATCCAGCGAGCAATTCAATAAAGCAACTTCCAATGCACCACAGGATTTGAACTATCCGACATATCCCTTGCGGCTCGCAATACCATCCTCTCATCGAAACTGTATATGAAATATCTTGGCCATAAAACCACTCATCTGTAAACAACATCCGACTTCCCCTTTTTCGTCCCTTCTGCCACTTGCTCACGCCACTCATTAGCTTGCAACATTCATGGCCAGCCGTACTTGATACATCAATCTCTTTGCAATCCATACTAATCAAAATCTCCGCGCCAAAGATCGAAATCAGCTTGTTGGCATTTTTTAAGTTGCACGTACTTCTTACGCCAATTAGGGCCATGATTGTCCCGCCAGATAGAAGCAATTTCTTTTGCTACCTCTTCGCTCACATCTCGCCACTCCGTAGCCTGAGGGTCCAAGTTGTGTCTAGCAAGAGTTGTGATGTCGAAGCGATGTCCTGCCCAGACTCCCCGGGTGATCTCCGTCGGGTCTGCCATCGCGGTTGGAGAAAATGTTGACCAACTGGCGCGTGACACGATGACTTCGTGAAAACCCAAGTACTCAATGAAAGGGCCATGGATATATTCTGGCTTAATTGCAATGGCCTCAGAGCGAATAAACTCCTTTGTAGTGAGATTTCTGAGAATCCACGACTCATTCTCCGGGAAGTAGGTTGAGTCTTCGCAAACGATCTCCGAGTACGCCAATTTGAATGCTGGATCATGCGACTTGTCTCGGTTTTTACACGCCTCGTATAGGCGTATAGACGCGTCTCGGATGCATAGTTCCATCTTTTGTTCCTTGGAGCCAAATCAGTTGCCAATTTCGTAAAGTGAGATTGATTTTGAGATTTGCTCTTCTATCTCTTCCTCCGAAAACAATCCAGGAGGGACATCCCCTGGCTGCGTGTACTCTCCAACATAAACAATATTCTCGCCAGCCCATTTACCCCAGAGCGACATGTAGTAATCGTGGAGGCGTTGCCGAGCAATGGCCCAGAAAGATCGTCTGGCTAGGCCGAGGCAAATAAGGTCTTTCATGCAGTCGACTTCTTTAAAAACTTGGAGAATAATTTCCGTGGGCAGGTCAAGAATAGTAGCAACGTGGCCGCTGATGGGTTTTACTGCTTGACCCATGATGCGACTTCCCCTTTGGATCGCAATAGAGAAACGGGCCTCATCTTGACTGCCGCGTTCGTCTGGTACTTGGAAGAGATCGGGCTGTGGAACAGGGACAGCAAGAAGACACACGAGTGCTCGTGACCATTCCTGGAAAAGAAGAGTATGGACGGGGACTTTTTCGGGTCTGAAAAGCTTGGCGTTAGGGGCAATCAGCTGGAAATTTTCTTCCTCAATTGTTTCCCTGGATGAGAAAAACAGATCCCTGACTTCAGGGGGCATCCGCATCATCTGGTCTAGCATTCCCGACACAAAGTCATCCATTTTCGGGGTAAGATTCGGAAGGGCTGTACAAAAGATGGATGAGAAAGGTGACTAGATAGACAAAATGTGGATGATGAAGGGCTGTACCTCTAGTGGGAACTAACATGCAGTGATGGTATTCAGACTTGAATGAGTAGTAGCCGTCTACCTCCTATGCAAAGCTTTGATTGCGTTGTGGTTGTAGACGGGAATGTGTCTGGTGGTGACAGTTGAGGCAAGCGCAAAGAAGTGCCAGGCGGAGAAGAAAACCATTTTCCACGGTCAAAATATACCTCGGCGCATTGCGATTTCTGTTTGTTGGGGCATCCGACAGTTCACAGTCCTTGCAAGTGTCAACACCTGCCAGCCTGCCAGCCGCGTTTGTCAACGGGGGTCGATGCATGTGGCTTTACTAACCGTTGACATGTCAAGTGAAGTGATTATGTACGCGTTTGCAAACTGCCCATGACTGAAAACGCGTCGACCTCAGGTATTGGTCATGGCCCTCATGCTCAGCTCCTTTTGCTATGGCATATATTCATGCCAAAGGCCAAAAGCAGTCCTGCAGAGGCTGTTCAATTGAAATGCTCCCCAAACGCTTCGGATCCTACTGTATCGGACGCTATCATGCTAAACTCTGCGGAAGAAATCAACCTATTTGCCTAAACCAGACGTCAGAGTCAGGTAAGTTAGATGGCTCTAAATGCCCCAGCTGGACTTCGGAGAAACTTTGTCGTCGCTCACAATATTATATATAAAACCAACATTGGTCGTCATTGGGCCAGAGATTAATATACATCCAGGGACGTTATGAAACCTGACAAGAGCAGATTCTTACCAGGCACGTGGATGTACCTCGCAATATCTATTCGTCAGTTCATGCACAAGTCATTCACTCATACCGTGGTTCTCCATAACAGCTCGAGGCAAAGATGCAAGAGGCAAAGCAGTATGCCTCTACGCCCAGTTCCCACCATGTGTGCTCGACCGGGGCCCAATTTGTGACAATTATCAAACCCTCGGCCTCCCAAATCTCGATCGCGGTGCTTTGGAAACCCTCTGAAACAGGTGAATTGCAAAGAAATGGATGAAAATAACGAAAAATGCGCCAAAAATAGGCAAAACAACTGCATTTTCACTCGACATCGGTAGAGGTCTCATGTACCGCTTTGGGTTAGAGCAACGAGGTGACGAACAAAGAAACACGACATTCTCGAGCAGACGCTTATTGATCTACATACCATAACCAACATGCATGGTTCGTTGGTAGCAGTAATATGCGATGATCACAGTCACTACATAAAAACCAACAGCTTTCACATGGATGCACAAGGCCACAACAACCAACATGATGAAGCCAGTGGTTTGCGATCGATACCACGTCTCGAGGCTTTTCTCGACGTCAGTCTTTTCGTCCTCTGCACATCTCAATGCCACTCACGTGAGAATGTTGTCTCTGCTGTCTTTAGCACTCTTGTCTCTCCTTGTAACAAGCTTCAACCAGACACCACACCGCCACACCGCGCTGATCATCCAGGCACCCATCCTGCACGACCGCCTGTGCTCCAGCAGAGGGTGGCACGAAAAGTTCCAGACTCTTCAGCCCATCTGGGCACCAATAACACAACTGTTGGCACGATTCGCTCACGGATCGCGGAGACTACGGCCTAATTAAACTGTGACAAAGGGGAAGGAAGATCGCAAACCGCAAACAACTCCCACCGAAAACATTTACAGCGAGAACCTAATAATAAACACGTTGGCACGTGCAAAATGAGACAGATAGTGGAGAACATAATTTTAAAAGTACCCTATCAAATCTAGTTGACAATGGGTTCCAAAAACGACGTGTTTTACAAGGTAAGACATTACGGCCCAAGAGTGCGCATTGCCGGGCACATTGCGCACCATGCCGCCATTGCCTTTGACAATCCGCTACAATCGTCCCAGATGTCGCTCGAGACGGTAGAAAACGGTCCCTAGAGCCATACATAGATTGTATGCCATGGATTTGCACTAATCCGTGCTAACACGCGGTTTTATCATGGCCAGAAGTGGAAACAAAATTGGCTCACAACAACACACGACAGTTCTTGCGCAGGACAGACAGGTATAAAGAAGTCAGTTCATCCTGCCATGTTTTCCATCAACTCATCCAGCTCCAAAGCAACTTGTTCAGTCGACACATACTCTACCCTTCCATGCTTTACAAACCTGTTTTACACTCGCGATATCGTCAAGCCCCCATCACCATGAGACTGACGCACGTTCTCGCCTTGGCAACAGCTTTCGGCGGCGCCATCGCCAGCGCCGTCAGCCAGGACAAGGGACTGCCCGCAGAGCCCAAGCCGCTCGAGGAGCGCACCGAGGACAAGAATCCGTATGGATACGGGAATCCTCCTCCCGTGCAACACACGTCAAGCACCACGACGCAGCAGGTCCAGCCTACATACGGCGCCCCTGCATATCTCACCCCGTCCCTCGACACTCACTTCAGCAAGCCGACTCTCACCTTTCAGGCTCCGGTCTATTCCATTCTCACTACGCTTCAAACCTCGGCCAAGCCCGTCACTAGCAAGTCCTCGACGACGCAGGCCGCCACGACTGATGCCGCACACGACACGGCCCCCGGCTACGGGGCGCCCCCGGCCGTGACGAAGTCTTCCACGACTCAGCCTGCTCCGACGTACGGGTCCTACTCCTTGCTGTAGGGCCATTCACCCCAGCGTGAACTAGCACTGAGGCAGCATGTGAGGTCTGGGGCGGCTGCACAGGGTCCATGAAGAATGGGTGCTGTGAATAGACGGAGAGGGGAGAAAGGTTGCCCATGGCTTTGCCTTGCAAGAGGGCGGGAAGGGACAAGTCGTGCAGAGATAATTGGATAAAGCAGTTCTGTATAGTAGATAGATTGGACTCATGGAGTGGGCTTCCAGGCTTCAACGGATCCTGGTTGCGCGCACATGTGTTGCTGAAGAGGAGTGGAATGCAAAATATACAGTATTTATATACACACATGCTGGTGTTTTGCCTTTGTGACTTGATGGTCTTGCCTGGGTGTCGAGATGCATGAGTGCCAGGTGGTCAATATGGAAGCGTGTGTAGGCGAGTACATGGTTGACTTGGTGTAGCGACATGATCCCTGGTGGCCATGGCGCCAGGCTGTATGTAACCGGCAGGACAGTCGTAATTGCAAGTTGCAAAATGTTGCTGTACTTGACTTTTCTTATATCTATCCACGAATATTTTTATAATTTCTGTCTGCAGTGCGAGACTCAGAGACTAGAGTCAATACTATTTGCGATCATGGATACATGTGGGTTCGGCCAGTGGTGTCTCTCGGGATTCAAGCATCTTTACAAGCACAATTCGCCCAACCTATTTACATAATTGTCGTTTCCTCCAACCAATTGACATTTCGCATCAGTCGATCGCCAACCGACACATTCACATGTTCCCGTGGCAGGCCGCCGCGAGGCACTTCCGCCGCCTCACCAACGTGTCAACCGATGCCAAGGTCGTGTCTGGTGCAGATGCCTACAAGGGGAGGGCTGGGTGCTCGCCGCCGGGCACTACTGGGACGCGCTGAGGCACGCGCACCTCGCGGCCGTGCCGACTCTGCCGAGCGCGCTGTGGGACGGTGCCGGCAGCCCCGACGCCGTCTGGTGCGTGGAGATGGCGAGGCTGGCCGAGGCGCCGGAGGGCGAGGCGTGCTGGACGAAGGCGGTGAAGTCGTGACGGGACGGCATCGGGCTGGTGTTATTTCAGGGGTCTGGGATGAACGGCGCTAAATGGGCATGTATTGGAGTCTGGTGGGTGGTTTGTTTCAGACGGGTCAAGTGCTCGTTTTATTCTTCTTCTTCTCTTGGTCTCTTTTTTCTTCTCGTTGTTCCATCTTTACGGAGTACCAGACCACATATTTCTTGCGCAGCGAATGGAATAAAGTATTGACCATCTACTGAGTACATACATGTATGTACACGGTGATTGTGGCCCCTCCCGGGCCGGGATGCATCCACGTCTGCTCATCGATGCAGCCGTGTTGCCGATGCCGTGTCTCACCTCATGAGACGAAATCAAAATAAATGTGCCTGGCCCGTCTAGTCTGCTCACAGGACATGGCTACACACTCCCTCGTCCTACCCCGCACGTAGCCAATCCGCCCAACCCCCCCAGCCGCAATTCCTCGTCGCTGCCCGTCGAGAAACCTCGGCAACATGTCTGCTACCAGTCGACATTTATTCACAGCCAGCCCGCCCATTCGAAAATAAGCATTCTGCGTCGCTAGTAATGCCCACCTCGACGCTGAATAATACCGCCGCGTACTAGTACTAGAAAATATACATGCCAACAACACCATGGCCCCCTCCGCAGCCGCCACGCCCACGCTCAGAGAGAAACTCGACCTGCTGCCGGCACTAGGATCCCTCGTCTTCACCACCCTCTCCGCGCTGCTGACAGGATGGCGGCGCGGGCCCAACGATGAGCCCTCGCTGTACCTGCACGTCGTGTACGCCGCCGTGCGCAAGCTGATTGTCCGGCTGTCCTCGCCGCAGCAGCAGTACCGACCCCCCCCCCCCCCCCGGGAGAACCTCCCACCCGCTCCATGCCGACCCGGCTAACCATTGACACCTATTGCCAGATGGGTGTTCCCGTCCACCGACGCCGTGTACAAGCAGCAGGCGGCATCCTTTAACATGGCCCCGCGCACCGTCGAGCTCCGCCACGGCGCCAAGGGTCTCTGGATCGGCGACCCGGACGCCGGCGCCGTCCTCGTCTGGTACCACGGCGGCGGCTTTAACCTGCCCGCGCTCAACGGCCACCTCGCCTTCTTCATGCGCCTCGTCCGCGCGCGCCCCGGCCTGGCCGTCTTCTTCGTCGCCTACGGCCTCGCCCCGGCGGCCACGTACCCCGCGCAGCTGCGGCAGGCGGTCGAGGCCCTGCGGTCCGTCGTCGCCGCCCGCCCGCCCTCGCGCGTCCTCCTCGGCGGCGACTCGGCCGGCGGGAATCTCGTCGCCGCCGTGCTGGCGCACCTGGCCCACCGCCACCCCGAGATCGACGCCCTGCCGCTGCCCGGGCCCCTCGCCGCCGCCGCCATGATGGCCCCCTGGACCGCCCTGGACGGGGGGACGACAAACGCCCGGCTGGCCGGCTACAACGGCGCGGATATCCTCGACCGCCGGGCCCTCGAATACTGGGCTGGGAAGTACATGGGTGATCGGGCCCCGGACTACTACACTGACGCGTCGAGCGCGCCCGCCGAGTGGTTCCGCGGCCTGCCCGTGGGCAGGATACTGGTCTTGGCGGGCGGCAACGAGGTCCTGCTGCCGAGCATTGACGCCTTTGTCAAGACCCTCGAGGTATGTGTGTGTGTGTGTGTGTGCTGCGTCGGGGCGTCTGGCGAACCGTGGCTGACGTACTGTACTACTGACCTAGGCTGGCTACGGCCCCGTCGAGTTTTACGTCGCCGAGCGGGAGGCGCACATCGCGCCCTTTGTGAACCTCAACTTTCATTCTAGTGCGCCCACGGGGCAGGGCGACAAGTTGCAGTCGTGGCTAGACGAGGTTGTTGCTTCGAGGGGGGAGACTGCCCATTTGTAGCTCCAATGTTGGCCATGGCGGTTGGGGGCTTCATAACCCGGTATATATTGTGCCTGGTTTTTTCTTTTTTTTTTTTTTTTTTGGCCAGCATGACAAATGATTTGGGCAAGAGTGTAGGCCGACACCTCGTTTGTTCACCTACTACATGTCATCTTCATCACATTCGCATTCACTGCCATGGGCCGAGTAATGTATAGCTGCGTACCTGGGTATTTGCCGAGAGCGATATGCATACAATATAGTAGACATGAATCACCTCGTAAGCCGCTCAGCAGCTACCCGGTGTAGGTTCCAGACGATTTCCTCCTCCAATAACTGCGAGCCATCGCTTCGTTCTGGAATTTGATCCATGTACAAGATACTTTTGATAGATGAGCCTTTGCCGTGCTCAGCCTGTCGTTAGGCACCAACCCCATTGTGCGGTTGGGTGGCGGCATCGCAGCCAACGCTGCCTCGTCTTCCGCCTCCCCCTTCGCGCTTCTCCTTCCTGCAAAGACATAATTGAACTCGTCTGGAAACTTCAATCACCGGCAACTCCGATAGAAAACCCCAAGCCTACCTGGGTACACGACTTTGCTCATGGGCCCCATCTCGACGCCGCTTCTCCGGCACATGTACCGGCAAGCATCTCAAGATCCTGACCGCCACGCATTCTCTCTCTGGCAAAACCTACTACATGAGCGGTTCCCAAGCCCAGGAGTACACTCTGTGATATGCGATATCCCACCAGCCGATAGACCGCCGCGCGATACCGTTGTCGTCAGCCGATACGATGCCGCCAGAAACACAATGACCCCGTTGCTGTGGGTGGAATGCAGGGTACGCGGTGGTACTGTCGAGAGTCTGGAAAGACAAGCCGTCGAGTCGGCAAAATCGTGTCTGGAAACGAGTGGCTTGCCGTCTGTTTTCGTTCTCACCGTCGTGGGAGTTTCGTTTCGGGTATGGCTGTACGAAGACGGTGCTGACCAGCTCACTTCTCTCTATGGGAGCCCCAGTGTCGCAAATTTGGGGCAGTACATCGATGTTGATTCAGAAAAGGCAGATCTGTTGATGTTCTTCTTTGAACTGGCCAGGAATGGGGCTAGAAACGTGAGGGATGCACGGGAGCGTCTTTTGGACCATCTCGTGGCACGTACAAACGGCCATTTGGAGTAGAGCGTTGGAACGTCTTGGGCGGCCCAGGTTGACGCAGAAACAAACGAATAAATTCATGGAATCCCGTGGCACAGTGGCAAAGCACCCCTTTTCGTTGTTCAAGTGACTGCTGTCGTATATCCGTGTAGAATTGGGGCACAACCTTGTGGCGAGCCTCCCGTATCTGGTTATTCGGGCTCTGACGCGACATGAATCACCCTAGCCTCCTGTCGCAAGTACCACCACTCCAACTTGCCATGCCAAGGAATCTCTTGCCATGATTGCGCGCCGTCAACGACTTGTCGTCCGTTGAGTCGAACCTCACTGACATATTTCTTGTCGCGTTCTATCTCTCCTTGCCTAAGCCACATTGGCAGCTCTGGTCGTATGGCTACAGTGTCCAGTGTCCAGTCCAATCGATACTGACCGACACAGGCACGAGTTCCGTCATGGTATTGGAGCAACATGCCTATGATGGGTTGGTGTCGAAGACGCTTACCACGGCATGGCGTTACTGCTGCAACATTCTCCAGTCGACAGCACGAGTAAAGATGCGTTTGACCAAATCGATGGGGGATAGATTTTGGCATCCAAAATTTTGAGTTGGTCGATTTTTCCCAACAGCTTGGAATCGTGGCCTGCACCCCTACGTACCTAACTCGCTGCCCGTCTCGTACGCTGTCTACTTCGTTAACGTATACTTTTGAGGGTGAAGTTCCAATCTCATGGACTCGGGAATAGGAATGCCGAGGACTGGGTATCTTTCCCAAAATCGTTGCTCGGCCGCGGTTAGTGACGAGCTATATTGAGTTATTAACTTTGTTTCTTCATGTTGCGACATCGTACACGCATTGCCTCACCATCAACGTTGTAGGCCAATGCAGCTGGCTTGGCGGCCGAAGTGTGCACCGCAGAATCCCAATCTCTTTGACGTACTCTCCCGGATCTACAGGCATGTATATCCACGTTAGATCCTTGCAAATAATGTCTGCATCATGGTAGAAATGCCGGCTTGCTGTTTGGCGGTGTGCCTGCAACTTTATGACCTGGCGTCGGAAAATAGCAATAAAATACCCCTGGACATGTGGCGCATTGAATTCGACATGGCTCATTCTCAATCCTCGGGGCGGAAAGGTGGAAATTTTGAGTCCTTCGAGGTCTATCACTTTGCATTCCGTGGCTGGCTCCGGCCAAGCAGGGCCGCGGATGGAACCATCTGTTGCATCTTGTTCCATCCCATCCATGATGCCCCTGACCTTCAACCCCTGAATGCGTGTTGGTAAGCCTGTACGTCCTCTCCATGGTGGCAAACTCACATCAGATACAGCCAGGATATGTCGAAGTCCCTGCTGTCGTCGAAGCTCCACCCACCATACGTTGTCAGCCGTCTGCTGAGAATCACTTCTGGGAGCGCACACGTGAACCCCTCGGATGCCCAGGTGATCGTACTCCAAGAATATATTGCGTACGATCTGGCCCGGGTGCGGGGAATGGATATGCTTGCAGTCCAGACGGGCTCCCTGGGGCGCCTTGTTGTGAAGAGACTGGACATAGGTGCTACCCTCAATGCGTACATAGGACGCATACACGTCCTGCTCAAGGTCAATGGTGACGGTGTTGGGAACAGTCGGTGCAGTATGCACCAGGTGATGCAAATTGACCACGGCGTACTCCCGAACAAGGTCCCGCGCAACCAGGCGACGCAGCTCTGGCGGGAATGTGGCTAATGCGCCGGATGTCGTTCGACGCTCCAGGAGACTCAGGATGTATGCTGTTCGTTTTCGTTGCAGAGAAAAGGCTGGGGTGTAATCGCTATACATGGAATCCACGAGCAGATGCGATGTCTGGCCAAACTTGGCCGAGTAGAAGGCGTAGCACGAGGTATGAAAGCAGAGGATTCCCGGCTGGCACCAGCAGCCTCGCTTGGTGCAGGCGATGTGAATCGTCACATGCCCATCTACATGTGTCCCATTCTGTGCGAACGGAAAAGAAACCAGATTTCTGGCCTTGGTGTCTCTTAGGTCTGGCAATTTGCACCGTGAGACACATGCGACTCAACTGCGCGGGGGGGCACCCAACATACCTGCAGTGACGGACTCTCCATCGCGAAACCAAAACTGGCAGAGTCTGCAAAGTGCGCTAGAGACACAGAATGGCTGGCCATGGACGTCCATTGAGTTTCGTTGACCGTTGTTGCTTCCGCGTCGGCTGGCCGCGATGACGACATGGAATGTGAGGCTGTGGTTTGCAGGCCTCGAGGTATTTTATATCTGGACTAGTCTGGGCTGCTTCTTTTTGGCTTACTCAACAAGGAACTTGCCTCGTGTACTCCGTAAGTACCTAGTAGGCGGCAGGTAAAAACGTTACATCATGACATCGCGACTTCCGATCTTATGACGATGGCCCTGCAATCAAACCCACTCAAACCACGATATCTAATTGCCCGTCTTTCAGATTGTCTTCCGCGGATAATAGCCATTTCAAAAATCCCACCAGTTCAGAATTGTATGTAGGGTAGGGATTATGCACCCCAAAGACGTGTCTCCGTGAGACTCCAGGCTATTGTGGGCCCGGTGGATCGTACGTTTGAGTAACCAAGTGCCAGTATTGTAGAAGCGGGTCCTGCCCACTGCTCGCATTGATTGGCTTATTTTCGCTATTCTGCCCCTTGGTCGTTGCACTACTGTCACCACAGCAACCATATTTATCCTCAGCCACCCGCGCAGCGGCAGCAGCTGGCAAGGGTCGAACAACAAACGAATAGACGTCACCAAGTGGGTGCTTGCATTCGTGCATTCGTGCATTCGTCCGGTGCAATGCGATACAATCACGCTCTTGCTTCTCTTGCTCTTCAACTCGGCCTCGTCACCTCCATCCCCTTCTGCACATGTTTGTTTGCGTTTTGAACATTCTTCTGACCATTAGAATTTTTGTTTGGACGACACCATTGGCCATCAAGTGATACCCGCTGGGAGATTTTTTTTTTTTTTTTTGGGTTCTTGTCGATTTCCGGGATTACTGGTTCTGAAACGAATGTGTTTACCCATACCGTTCACGAATCCACGCTGTACCAGACGGCCCGCATAAACGCTCGTCGTGAATATATACCCCTTACCGAGATTCTTTCATAAGGGGCCATCTGTCCACGCACCGGTGACGTGCACGCGATAGACGAAACACACCTCACCAAAGACAAGCACCAGTCCCCGAAGCTCTGCAATATGGCGGCTGCGGGACAATCATCCATCACTGTTGCTGGTACGAGAACACGTTGTGCAAAACGCGCGAGAGCTACTTGCAATCATCACCATCAGCAAAGAACTAACGCAGTCATAGTTCGCGTACGGCCATTCACAATCAGGGAGGCAGCCCAGCTGTATGTTGCGCCGACGACAACCGCAATCGTTTGTAGACCGTGAGCAGAGGCACTGACGAAGCATCAGACAAAAAACCGATGACAGTCCCGTCTTCCTCGGAGATGGCTCCCTCGCAGGCCCAGCCCCCAAGCTGCACCAGCGAGGTCTACGCAGCGTGATCAAGGTCGTAGATGACCGCTGTCTGTATGTGGCATCATTTCCTCATTACACCACTATGCCTATGCTAATCCTCAGCAAAAGTGTTTTCGACCCCCCAGAGGACAACCCCGTGCAACGATTCTCCAGATCCGTCGTCCCCACGTCCAAAAAGGTCAAAGACCAAGTTTTTGCCTTCGATCGCGTTTTCGACGAAAACACTACCCAGTCCGATGTCTATGAAGGGACAACCAAGAACCTATTAGACAGTGTCCTTGACGGCTACAACGCCACTGTTTTCGCTTACGGCGCTACCGGCTGCGGAAAGACACATACCATCACTGGCACCGCTCAACATCCGGGTATTATCTTCCTGACCATGCAGGAGCTGTTCGAGAAAATCGACGAGCGAAGCCAGGAAAAAACGACAGAGCTTAGCTTGAGTTATCTCGAAATATACAATGAAACAATTCGGGATCTTTTGGTCCCTGGTGGAAGCCAAGGTGGTCTGATGCTCAGGGAAGACAGCAACCAAGCCGTAACGGTCTTCGGTCTCACAAGCCACCACCCCAAGAATGTCCAAGAAGTCATGGACATGATTATCCAAGGCAACGAGTATCGAACCGTGTCTCCAACAGAAGCAAACGCCACGTCGTCTCGGTCGCATGCGGTATTGCAGATTAATATATCTCAAAAGGACAGAAACGCCGATGTCAATGAACCGCATACCATGGCCACCCTCAGCATTATCGACTTGGCCGGATCTGAGCGTGCATCGGTGACGAAAAACCGCGGCGTGCGCCTAACCGAAGGCGCCAATATCAACAAATCTCTCCTGGCATTGGGCAGCTGCATCAATGCACTTTGCGACAAGCGCCAGCGCGCCCATGTCCCCTATCGTAACAGTAAGCTCACTCGACTGCTAAAGTTTTCGCTAGGCGGAAACTGCAAGACAGTCATGATTGTGTGCGTATCCCCTTCTAGTGCCCACTTCGACGAGACGCAGAATACACTGCGCTATGCAAACAGGGCCAAGAACATCCAAACCAAGGTTACTCGCAACGTCTTCAACGTCAATCGCCATGTCAAGGACTTCTTGGTTAAGATTGATGAACAGATGGCTCTCATCAATGAGCTCAAAGCGCAGCAGAAGGACGCTGAACAATTGTTCTTTGCCAAATTCCGCAAGCAATGCGATAAGCGAGACGGCGTCGCTCGAGAAGGTGTGTTGCGCCTTCGCGCAGCCTACGACCACTCCGCGGCGGAGCGTCAGGAGCGCATTGCTACTATGAAGAAGCTCAAAGCCTTTGAGAGACGGATTGCCATGTTGACCGGTTGGATTGCTGCGTTTGATACCGTTTGTGAGCAGCGGGCAGATAACGACTCTATGCCTCAAAATTTGATTTCTATTCGAAAGACTGCTCAAGGCATTCAGGTTGAGCTTGAAAACAGTCGCCAACATATTCACCAGAAGCTTGAAAAGGCAACGTGGGAGCGGGCAATCGATACCGCACTTTCCCACAGTCTGCAACAACTCGAAGGCCTGGAGGGCATGGACAGCGGCGAGCATGCTACGTTGACCCGGGAGGCAGAGCTCCTCAAAGCAAACTTTGGTCGGGAAGCGTACCGTGAAGTCCTCGAGCAAGAAAAGCTCGGCGATGCAGCCATGATGCAAATGCTTCTTACTGCCCAGTTCGAGATGCTAGCGTCGCTTTCCGATACTTTGGCCATGGATGAGGACAGCGCTGTCGCTCACGCGAAACAGATTATCCACAAACTTCTCGACACGGGATATAATGCTGCGGGTCAGGTGGTGAAACCTGACGGTTCTCTTCCCGTGCTAGAAATCTTCCCTCCAACTCGGAAAGGCACACCGAAGCGGAAGAAGAGCCTTGGAGCGTACGTCAAGCCCATTGCTCCTCTGGCGCTTGCTGCTGTTCAGAGCGAGCAAGTGTTTGCCAGCCCGATGAAATCGTCGCCAAGAAGACGTAAGGTGTTTGGCGCGGCGAAGAAGGGAATCAGCTTCACACCAGTTAAAAAATCCAAGCCCAGGAGTGTCCGATGGAGGGATGACGAAAGCGAAGACGGAACTCTGGCCGATTTTGCAAACACACCGCAGCAGATGGACGCAACCCCTGATCAGTCGTCAGCAGAGAGGACCCCAATTCCGCCACCGCAACCAACCTATCTTGTCGAGGATGAACAAAACCGCGAGACATCGAGCCCCAGGATTGAGGCGCCAGAGGAGGAACAGGCGGCCACACCAGCTTCCAAGCCGGGGCGATTCCAGGCTGGTTTTCTATCAAAGACCCGAATGTCAGTGCAGCCACAAGGCTCACCATTGCTACAAGCACCAATGCTCAGCCGAAGCGTGTCGTCCAGCTCCCCCAACTCTGGCAGGGTGTCGCCGCTGCGAACACTGGATGTCTCTAAGACGGGCAACTTGTCGCCGCCGTCATTGCCAGCCGCTCATCGCAGCAGGTTAAGCCCCCCGCAGCCGACATCCTTGAGGGGCATTGTGGACGAGAATAATCCCCCAATCCAAGGGACACCTAGCTCCGGCTCAGACTCTGAGTCGAGCATGATTGATGTTCGCAAGCTCCGCAGTGCCATGCAATCAGCCAAAGCTCGCAGGCCGAGTGCCTTGGGCGGAGTAGTCGCTGCTAATGGAAGACGCGTCTCGTCGATATCCACCATCCCTGAGCGAGCTATGCCACGCCCTAGCATGCCGTCGGCGTTGGCCAGCAGCACAAATGGCATCTCGAGGGCTCGTCGTGGCAGCCTGGAACGACGGAAGAGCCCTCCGCTCACCTGCTCACCGCCCGAGTTTAGAGGCGACCGAAACCTGACCGCTGGCCAGGCTAGGCGGATGAATCTAGGAGGGAGTGTCCGACTGGAGAATACAGCAAGTAGCCCGCGAGACGGCTTGAAAGAGGCACCACGTCGCGTTACTATTGGTGTCGGGTCGACGCCTGCCTCTCATCGACGCCAAGAGACCAGAGGAGCTACGGCATGGCGATAAGCCCGTGTTCAACAAGAACACCATCCTTAACTATGTGTATTTTTCCTTGTTTCTCTCTCTCTTCTCCTTGATCCAGCCGTCTTTTGTACAGGGCTGTGTTGGACGATGCGGTTACGATTTCATTTTGGCAGAGGCATACTGGCGTTTGGATCATACAATGAATGAGTTTTGTATTTTCCGTAGAAGAATGGCATAGCTGTTAATTTACTCTTGATATAATTTGCTACTGAAGTGGACTAATTTGGATTCTGCAACTATATATTTGAAGCATAATGACGAGGCAACTATTGCGTCTCGGGGGTATAAGCAACGTCGAGAATGCAACGTCCATCGCCTGCTCTGCACTTGTAGTGCTCCTGAGCTACATATATCTACCATCTCGGGTATGCGCTTCTAAATCATTCGTACTGCGTATTTCCATAATGCTGCGGCATTCAAACATTGGATATCTTCTGGTTCTGTTACGTCGTATTACATGTACTGTTTGTTGTTGTTGTAGACTAGGGACGATGGCGGGGTTCTCCTGTTCGCGAAGCAAGTCGTCCTGAGAGGTTTTCTTTGCCAAAAATGCCTTATTGAGCAATTACCCGCAGCAGACGGTGGCTTCCTGGGCGGCGCTCGTTTGTTGACCGCTGCCGAGTTTGGTGTAAGTCATGGGAAGTGACGGAGCGCATGCAGATTGTGTAGAGGAGGAAAGGACGTACCCGAGGGGAAGAGTTTCCCACTGGAAGATAAAGGCGCCGAAGAATGAGCCGAGGAAGATGCACAGGATGATGTAGCCGTTGTAGTACATGGCCAACTGTGGTTTGGTTAGCATTTTGCAAAGTATTTTTGAGCAGCATGACACCCCCCGCTCCCCCCCAACACACACACAGACACACACGCACGCACACACGCATGCAAGGACAACGTACCAGCATCAGAATGTAGGCAACGACAAAGGCTAGCAGGTGCAAAAACGCCCGGATGCCCTGCTGCAACACGTTTGGTCGAAACGGAGGGACCACGGCGCACGAGGTGATGGCCGCGCCCTCCTTGCTGCCGACGGAACCGGTGGCTGCTGCGGCGGCAGGGCTAGCCGAGGACTGGAACTTGGATACGTGCTGGCGGACGAGAAATCTGTCGTATTCCTTGATGGAGCGGCGGAGGAACTCGAGGACCATGCCGAGGAGGAAGACGCCGATGCAGGAGCCGGCGAACATGCCGGTGGATGTGATTTGCCATTCGGACGAGAGGAAGCATGAGCCGACGGTGTTGAGGTTGAAGAGCATCTGGGGGATTCCATGTTAGTCACTGGACTGTGGTCTCGCCGGATGGGGTTTTTGGGAGGAGGGGGTTGAGTCGTACGGAAATCTTGCATCCGTTGCCCATGCCCTCCATGTCGTGGCCGTGGCTGTGGCTGTCGGCAGTTGAGGTTGGCATGGACATGGCGGTCGGGGTGCCAGTCATGCCCATGTGCATGGTAGAATGATCCATATCCATTGTGAATGTGCGTTGCGATGATATTCAATGTATGTATGGTGTTGTGAGGCTGGGTCTATGATGGTGTGGGCGTGTAGAGAGCGAGACTAAGAGGGGGTCAGGTTTCCCAGACCAAGACAGAGGCAGGCCCGGCCGATCTTATAGCAGCAGGTAAGACAAGGCTCACGGGCCAAAAATATCTCCCGTGTACGAGTAACGGACCACAGAGTCGTGTCTGACGATGCTTTGGTGGACTACGGAACTTTATTGACTCGCCGGGCCTTGGTGAAACCTTGAGTCGGGAGTGGTGAGTCGTGTGTAAACTAGCGCAATCTGCGCTTCTGGCAGACCGGGAAGGCCTGTGCTTCATGGTTTTGTTTTGTTTGGTCTTGTGGGGAGAGATGCGACCAGCCGTTGGGCTTGGGTCGTCGGCTGTTATGAGGTGATGCTGAGAGTATTTGAGCAAATTTCCTGGTCGTGCAAGCTGTGGTATTGGATTGAAGGAGTGCAGCTGTGGAGATTTTGGATGGGGTGCGAAATTGCCAAGTCTCTGGTGGACAAGGTCGTGCAGCTGGATTCAGAAGGAACCAAGGGCGAGGCAGGGATTTGATTGGTGAAAAGCGGGACGCCAGTGTCGGGAGTCGGCTGTCAGGATTTTAGGGCGTCGATTGCCCCAACCTCTGGATTTTGCATCCCTCCAAGGCGTCCACGTGAGGTTAATTCGGAATTTCCATCCTGTCCACGACAACTGGCGATGCGTCATGGGCGTTCGTGTCATGCATGGTTAGAATTCATGCTCATCTCTTTTCGCAGGGTACAGAATGTACACACATTTGCGCCATCACTTTCTCATGTAATAGCCGTATCAGGTCTCAATCTACGGACTCGTTCTTGGCCTCTTTTCTCCAACGTCCAGAATGCGCCCACTGTATGACGAAGCATGACAAGCTATAACGCGATGGCGCAAAGTACAAGTGCAGGACCAACGCCGATGCGGTTCATCATGAGCAATGCAAAAACTAGTTCCTCCAACCGCAAATAAACACCTGGCTAGTTTCAAGCTTCCGCTGGCTACCGCAACGGGGACAAGGCGGCCAGCACGGGTGGTGGTATCTCCGACGACACCAGGGTTAATTGCAGTCTGGTGCTTTGCAAGCATCTCACGGCTATAGAGTTGCGTAGTTGTTCAACGCAGTGCACGGGCAAAACCATCGCGATACCCCCATTCGCATTAGGGCAGCGCACCTCGTAGCTTGCACGCAGCCGCACTACATACAAGTCAATCAAGATTATCAAGACATATCACAATGTATTGGCGAGACTAGTGGTCTTCCACGCCCAGCGGCAAGCAACGCATGGCAAGAATCTTCTGAATCTAGTTCGCAGTGGCCACAGTCCATTTGAGGGCGACTGGGACGTTGGGCGACTCATCCGCGAGATAGGGGGAATCATTCCCATAATCACCAAGGGGCCCAACAACAATGTCAGCTTCTTCCACTGCTGCTATGTGTCTTAATGACCCCGATTTTGCTAACCATGCTTAGTGTTTTCATGTCAAAACTTCCAACATGCCCGACATGGCTGCTCGTCTAGCTCGCGGCCATGTCAACATGCCAGATTTTGACGGGTTAACTATCGAGATACAGGCCGAGGAGGTTTGTTTCGAGGTAGCCGTCTACAACTCTCTGCGATGGGAGACGGAGATCCTAGCTTCTCGTCTGCTGTACCCTCGCGTACTAGTTCAGTACTAAGGGCTAAAACTTGTCATTCCTTGGGACCTCAGTGGTCGTCAGCTCTTTGTCTTTGAGAGCTCTGAAGGGGAGAATGATGTTTGGACGGATCTCACCCTATTAATAAGGTGTGCTACCCCCCGTTCTTCAACAGCGCACCCTCGCCAACTCTTCGCAATAGCTCCTACTTCTTGACTAGCTGGCTTATATTCATGCAGCCTTGTTTTCCTACGATCCTCCTAACGAATTTTGAGCTGAACACTTCCTTGACCGCCTATTCCAGTTCAAGTCAGAGTCGTTGTCTATAGCTGTCGTCCCTACTCGCGAGTTTTAGATGAACGTGCTGGAGTCCAAGATCAAGGCGACCATTCGGAACGAAGGTGCCATGATCGATGGGAGGAAGACGAGGAGACGGTCGGACACATTGCTTTAGCGGCCAGACAGTCTCATTTGCGCGCAGTCCCGCTAATACTCCATTTGGCATTCACAACATGACCATCACAAAGAAGGAGAATGGCCGAGCGCATGTTACGTCGCTGTACAACTGAGAAACAGGCTGTATATGGCTTGCCATTCCCTCTGATCGTTTGGTGGCAGCCGGTCCCGTCGATTTAATTAGGAACAGGCAGGGCGCTCCCTCCATCACAAGGCTACTGAAAGACGCGGCTCGTGCCGCGCCGGGCTACGAAGTGGCCATCCGGGTAGAAAGACTTCTGCTACCTGTTGTATGCGCTGCGAGACTGGCGTGGCAGCAACTCGGAGGAGTTCTTCGGTGCCTTGAAAGAGGGCTGAAAAATATATGACAGAACTGGAGGCTCCCTGAATCGTGGCACCAAGCTTGACTCACTCTTCTAGAGAGCTACGCGTGTCGAATTGGTCTTGGTCTCTCTGTACTGTCCATTTTGGCCCAGACGACATAAGCTATAAGCTGTACGCCCGGAACCATTGAGCGAATACCGGCCCGCCATAACCGCTAATGCATTGATGGAGCGCATGAACCGGGTGGCGAAATGGGAGGACCCGAATTGTTTGGGATTCACGGAATGTAAAGCCAAGATAGTAAGCAGACCGTGAGGGATAAAAAGGCATTAGCTGAAGAGGGAACTGGAGTCAAGATGATCAATCTATGACACCAACCCTCACAGACTACAAGAAATGATGCCATCTGAAGCAACGGACTGACGTAGAATCCAATTGACAACATGGCCGTAATTTTTGACTGTGCAAGTAGCCGCATACACCAGCGATAAGTAGAAATCTTGACCGCGTAAATGCAGTTATCTCGATATGTCTCAACTTTATCATTCATTGCTATGGCATATCTGCACAAATATTCACTGCGCCGCGATCTGTCTGGTAATTACCACTGGGAAAGCCTCTGTGGACGTGCACTCCCCAACCATATCCATCAGTTCACGCCAGCAAACCAGGCCGCAATTTCCGCCACATTGTGATCGACAATGTCCGGCTGCTCATAGTGCTGGAAATGAGACACGCCATTATCCCAAACGAGCTTCTTGTTCTTCGTGGGGATAGAGTCATAGTGGCGCTTCGCAGACGCCGCGTTCATGCAATTATCTCCGTGGATAATCAACGCAGGCTTTGTGAGCTTGGCCACCCCGTCCACGGTACTATACCCAAAGTGATCGATATCACTCATGACGGCGTACCGGTTGTCAAAGTTCTTAAGAGTCCACGGGCCGTACCACGACCAGGCAACCGGGCCCGGCAGCCCAGCGAGCGAACCAACATCCGGGTCAGCGGCCTTCGGGTCAACCAGCGGCTGGTACACGACCTCGCCCGTCTCCTCGTACAACTCGCGGGCTTTCCGGGCCCGGTCCAGCCTGGCCTTGTAGAGGGCCTCGCCCTGTTCCGGGGTGGGCATCTTCATCGAGCCCACGTCTACGCCGGGCTCGGGGTTGACACAGCCCGAGCAAATCATCCAAATGTCGGTTTCGCGGTCCCGGTAGTAGCCTGTGACGGAGGCGACTCCGCGCACACGCTGGTCGTACGAGGCAATGTCGAGGCATTCCGGGCCGCCCTGGCAGATGCCGACCAGGAACAGTCGGTTGCTGTCCACGTCTGGCAGGCTTTGGAGATAGTCCAGTCCGGCTACCACGTCCTCGTTTTTCATTTTGGGATTCTCCAGACGGCGCGGCTGTCCGGTGCTGTCGCCGACGGTCCGAGGGTCGAAGATCAGGGCGGCGTAGCCCTCGTCGGCAAGTCGTGTGGCGTACTGCAAGGGCGCCTGCTCTTTGATGAAGGAATACGGCCCGAGGAGAACGACGCCGGGGGGGTTGCTGACATTGGTTGGCTTGTAGAGGATGCCGGCGATTGTCTCCCCGTTGGATGGGTAGGTGACTTTCTGCACCTTATAATTGCCGTGGGAGACCATGGTGACGGAGGAAATGTAAGCTTTGTATCAAGGAGTAGGTTAATTTTCGACTAAATCATCTATTGTTGTCGTCCTTTGCGGAGAAGACACGGCATTTTTATATTCAAAATCCGTTCACATGGTTTACATGTCGGTAGGGACTGTTGTCATGCCCCGATGCAGTGTAACCATTAAACTTTGTCAGTTTGCGGCGGACGGTCAAAGCGTGTCGTAAATTTTCGGGGAATGGCTTTGAAATTCAATCGAGGCTGAATCGTGGCCATGGCAATGGGAGGAACTTGTGTACGCAAGCTTTCGGCGATAGACAGTTTCGGAGATAGCTCCACGTCTTGACTCTTGACTCTTGAGCCGCCGCCACCAGCCAAACAGCCACGTAAGCAGGCTGCATATCCATTCATCGGAGAAAAACTGGGCATACTGTCGGCGCATTCATGATTGTTGGGACTTGTCTTGTACGACTGTTGTACCATCCGTCGGCGACTCCGCGGACGACCGGACCCCCTACCACGCACGGCAAGAAACCTATCGGGATTAATACGTAGTTACGTAAAGCGTCTGGGATAGTGCTGCAAGGAATGCATGGGGTTCCTTGAAATACGGTTAAGTAGTTGCCTTAATAGATGGTTTGTGAATGTTTCTGTGGTCGTCGCAGAGGCCGCCTCCCAACGATTCCGTGATCCTCTTGGCGCTTTAACTCCAATTAGCGAAGCCTGCCATCGGAGACCAGTAGTTATTCATGCCATAATTCTTGTATAATGTGTCAGAGATGATCAAGATTCCGTCTCTTGCGACTCGCCGTGCCACCCCCGAGACAGGCTTCAAAGTCGCCATACTGGAAGTGAATATAAATGTCACACAGTTACACGATGGCGACGATCACAAGACCTAGGGCAGAAGGCTCGCACCACTTCTTGTATAAATAGAGCTCTTTGTCGACTAGGTCTCGAGGAAAACGAAGGACCTTTAGTACCAAAGACTGTAAGCTGTACCTGTAGAATGTCCGGATCGTTTGGTAACTTTTGGTTTCCACATGTCTCACCGCTGCCTTGCGTACTAGGTAAATAAGCCCTTTTTGTTACAAATAGCGCAAGGAAAACCAAGGACCTTTGATGACAAAGAGAGCGGTGAGATGGAATTGAGGCCTTCGTTTCGAGTCCTTGTATACAAGCCCTTGTCACACCATCCCATGCCAGGCCAAACAACATGATTCCGGCTGATCTTGGCACCAGCGGCGTCGTAGTAATCAACGGTACAGTGATTCCGCTTATCGTTTCGGCTAGTGTGCCAGCCGTTCCTAAAAGCTGGTGTCAGGGGCTTGATTGCGATGAGAACCGCCGTCAACTTAGGCGACTGTGGCACGTACAGCCCCGGCAGGTGCTTAACTAACAACCAAATTGATGACATCCGTCTTCTCCGTGGCATCGCTTGAGTACATGTTAAACGGGCTCAAGGGAACATTGCCAGCATCCATGATGAACATAGAGTTGTTCTCTAAGCTGGGATAGAGAAGTATGGGTATTGGAAGAATGGTGATTACAGGCGCTGAAAACATCGGGAAACCGTACTCCGGCGAGCTCATATCAATTTATTCTTGCTATCCAGCTAGACCACCACCCCTTCAAAGAACCTGCATTGGTGATTGCAGTGCATGGACGGTGGTACCATCATGGTCAATGTTGAGGTTTTGCTGTGGCCGGCCGCAGCTGACTGTCCAATTAACTTGCTCTTGGGTCAATGCCAAGTACGTCATCAACCAATCTCTCAACATCATTCTATAGCATGACAACCAACAGAATGTACCAGGCGCCTATTGCAGCGTGCGAGATGCTCGTGGCCGTCATGTCTGGTGGCCTGTGAGAAAGGCTAGTGCTGGGTGTTGGAATAGGCGAGTTAGTCACGTAAGGATAAGATAAAGAGTAATTAGGTACACGTATTTATAGTAAGTATTACCCTTAATTATTAGGTTAATAAGTAAGGTTAATATATTTAAGTTAAGTATATATACTTTTAATAAGTTATAAGCTTAATTAATATATATTATTTATATAATTATT